TAAAAAAAAAAAAGATGAAACAGAATATTTATTTACAAAGAAATTTAAATTTATAAATGCTGCACATATACATTTACATATTTACTGCTAAAAACAGACATATGAGGGAAATTCTTTTTACTTATTGAATTTATCCTAAGTCTAAATACAATAAACCTCTTAAGAATACTATATTTAATATTGTTACAATTAAATACGTGTTCTTCATCAACAGAACTCATTTTTCTCTATGAAAAATCCTCTTAAATCACCTCTGAGTTGATTTGGCTCATATAGGTTTCGAAATTGACTTAATCCTTTAATTTGTTACTTTATTTTATTAATTTTCCTTTGTAATTCAGTGGTTATGAGAGAAAAAGATTGAAATTAAGTTTGAAACTTGATTATAGAAGATATTTTTATAGTTTGGGGCTATTAGCTGATACAATTAGTATTTTGAAATCAGTGGTTTCAAGTATAAAATTGAAATTTGGTTTTCATTTATAGTTATTGTTACTTTCAATATTAAAAATATGAGTGTAATTGATGATCCTTAAATCATAGTTTAATTGAGTATAGTTGATGATCCTTAAAATCTTGACCTTAAATGATACTCATATTTTAATGATGAAAGTAACAATAACTATAAAGGAAAACTTTCAATTTTATACTGGAAACTAATAACTTCAAGATAAAAATTGTGTTAGCTAATAGCCTCGAACTATAGACACTGTCTTCATATAACCAAGTTTCAAACTTGATTTCCATCTTTTTCTTTCATTACCACTGAATTAAAAAGGAAATCAATAAAATAAAGTAAAAAATTAAAGTATACACACAATTTTAAGTCTACGAAGAACAAACCAAACTTGTCACTTTAACTTTAAACACTGATATATATAGATATTAAATAAAAAATACCTATTAATAAACTAAATCTATTACTAAAACAAAACAATTAAACTTTCAAACAAAATATCACTAATAAAATATGAGTCTGTGAAGATGAAATCTATCACTGAACATGAATAGGTTAACTATCACTTTAAACACTAAAACGTACAACTATTCAATAAAAACTACCTATTAGTAAACTAAATTTATTACTCAAACAACACAATTAAACTTTTAAATAAAATATCACCAATAAAATAAGTCTGTAAAGATGAAACCTATCACTGAACAAGAAACCAAAACAATCACTGAAAACATTAAAACGTATAACTATTCAATAAAAACTACCTATTAATAAACTAAACCTATCACTTAAACAACAAAATTAAGCTTCTGAACTAAAATACCGCTAATAAAATATGAAATTTTAACAGTTTTGAGGTGCCTAAAGAGCAAGCAGATAGCAAGGGACGATCCAAGATGGCCAACCAATCAGAAATCGAATCCATATGACCGCACTGTATTATTAAGTCACTGTAGGCCAAACAGCCCAATAGTTTTTAGGCCTCCTTTTTTCTCGATTTTGTGACCAAATTATTTACGATGCAAGCGGAAAGGTAATTGGTATTTACGAGTTTTTAGTAACTAATTTAGTGCTCTCGACCAATCTCTGCTGGCTTTAGTACCAGTGACGCGGTTGAGAGAGTAGCGCAGGGTTCTCCTGGAATTCCCTCGCCTGATTGTATATAGGTATGCATGTGTTTTTTTTTTTTTTCCTTAGTTTTAATTTTCTTATGTTTTAGGTTATTTTATTTTATCATCCATTGTATATACTTTTGATTATTATTTTGTTTCTATTTATTTTATGTTTTTGTACATATAATGTGAATGTTATCCTACCTCACTATAACCCATGTCCAAGAGACAGATTGTTATAATACTCAATCAAGAAATAAAAAAATAAAAAAAAATTAAATAGCGAAAGTTTGCCGATCTCCAGATTGAAAAAGTGCCAATTCCGAGAATGTTTGTAAATAAAATAGTTGTAGGTTAGGATGATATGAAGCTATTCACGAAGTTTCAGGCGGATATTAATAATTTGATAAAAATGGGTCTATACCACGGACTACCTATTCTTGAATCAATTTACTCACTGTCTGTACAGATATTATGAAATTTTCAGTTAAAAATATCACTAAAATTACCTTAATCAAAAATGTTGAAATTGGTATTAGTCATTCTGTCAACTGAAAGGCTCATGCTTAGTTTATTAAATGTCTTAATATAACCTTTAAATATAACCTCATAGGTTATTAAAATAACGTGTTAATGGAACTTTATCATTTGGTGACTGTTAACATGTAACCTGTTATCGAAATTTCACTAAGAAATGAATCGAAGTATTTCTATCTCTATGGACAACTGACTAATTCGCGGGTTTTTTTTTAAATGTGCGGGAAATAGAGGAAGTGTGACAACAGCTGACAGAAGTTTTTCCTCCATAAGTGGCATGTAATCTGTTCGAGAGTCAGTAAAGAGTTTTCGTGGACTTATCGCAATGCAGGTTAACGTAGTTCGCATTGTACATCAGCGGTTGGATGACCAAGAGGGGCGGACACCTTTGCATCTGGCAATAAGCAACAGAAGAGGCGTAGAAGTCGTGAGGGAGCTGTTGAAAAGTGGCGAATCTGCTAATGCTTGGGATGCTTACAAATGTACCCCTCTAATATTTGCTTTAAAGTTCTTGGACAGTGACTTGTTGGATACAGTGAAAGAACTTTTAAAATACGGAGCGAATCCTAATGTTCACGATTTCCAAGGTTATTCAGCCCTCACGCTGGCTCTTTATAAAAAAAATTTGAAAGTGATACAAGAGATGATGGAATTTGGTGCAGATATTAATTTGCTAAACAAACCACCCATTCGTTGTTTCCTCATGTTTCTCACCCCTATGACGGAAGCAGTTCGTAATGATTTGGGTTGCGCCAAAATTCTCATTAAAATGACTGTTTTAAAACATTTTGACAATAATTACAATCAAATTATTAATTTAAATCGTTTTAGTGACGCTAGGCATTTTAAGAGACTGACATCTTTCCTGGAAGAATGTACCTGGGAAGTCCATCAAATGAAATCTTATCTTTTTAATAATAAATGTTCGATATTTGAATATGTTATTAATAGTCGGAAATGTTTTAAGCCTTTGTATTGTGATGAGAATATTCTTAGAGAAATTCTTAATTGTTTTTGTATTTATCAAGATACAATTTCAACAAATTTACAACCATGTTTATTAAGAGGTCGGCTTTTGAATAAATTAAGAGTTCTTCGAATATATGCTGTTTATAACAACAATAAGACTGTTAACAATTCTACAGGTAAGGTTTATCTCAATGAAGACTGTTCCTTAAAGATAGCTAAATATCTTACTAATGATGAATTGTGTGCATTTAATCAAGCATATGACATATGAATTTTTATTTTATAATGTTGACATGAAATAGTTGTATAATGACCAGATTGAAAAAAAATCCGATTAGATAAAATTGATGTATATCCTATTTTTAATTAACAATTTCTATTAATATTTCTTATATATTTTATACAAAGCTATATCTTGACTATTTAAATTTACCCGCACAGTATTAAGATATTAAAAATGTGAAAAGTGTAGTTATGGGGATAAATATCTGTGATTATTGTATTAAGTGTTTGTTATTGTTTCAGATTTTAGTGTTCAAATCAAAAGAAATGTCTTTTATAAATAAACACAGCATATTTCTCTGTAATTTTACTAACATTCATAAAAACTTTAATTGTCAAATTGCTTAAAATATTTTTTATGAATGAAGTTTTTTTTATTGATGTTATTATTATGTTTAAACCATTCAGAATAATTTTAATTGTAACAATGAATTGTGGTAATGATAAGTTTTAATGATAGTTTCTTGAATACTCAATAGTTGACCATAGTATAATATTAAGGAAAGAGATCGGCCTGGGTGGTAGTCATTAAAAAAAAATAAAATTAAAATAGAACCTATTTTAAATTATTTTATTATGACATTTTTTTTTTTTAGTATTTTCCATATATTAATGAAGTATGCTTATCATTAAACGTTAAAAAAACATTTGAAATAATTATTATTTTAATGATTAATTAGGCTAATGATAAATTTTAATCAATGATATTTCCTTTATTAATTTAATATACTTATCACCATTTAAAATCTTTTGTTAAAAACTTACTAGCAAACACCATGAAAGAAACAAACAATTTTATTGAAATAGATCAATATATAAATTAAGTCAAAAAATAATTAAATATTTTATTATGGATTAATGTTTTCTCAGCAATAATAATAAAATTGTAATAATTATAACATAATTTTTATTACCGACAAGTTTAAGCTCGAGTGTTTGTTATCAATTTAACAAAGGGCACTGAATTAAAAAGTTTTCAAGATAGAATAAAGGTTGATACCAATTTTATAGTAAGGGATATAATACTATGAATTATGAATAATACTAGGGCAAGTAAACAATTAAATTCATGCATTTAAAATAAATGCTAATTGCTTAAAAAATAACAATGTTAAGGGAAAAAAATTGTTAAAAGAAATTAATGGAGAAGAGGTTCTTGAGAACGAACAGAGGAATCTCAACTATTGATGATAGGATAAATTAATTTATAGAAAGAACCAGGTAGAATGACATGATATTTTTGCTTTCACAAAAGTTACCATCTCTTTGGAAAACTAAGCCAGAAAATTGACTGACCAGAAGATTAATTTGTACATTATATAAAACACGTACATAATAATAATAATAATAAAGATTCAGCAAACCCAGAGGTTCAATGGTTATAACATCAATTGCTTTCTACTTCTATCCACTGATCTCCGTCCAAACCCAACCTTGCTAGATCATTCTTAACATAATCCTCCCATCTTCGTTTTGGTTTACTCTGTGGACTCTTACTAGTAGGCCTAGCACATATTAATCTTTTAGCGGCTAATTTGCCTCTAAACCCAACAATTTAATAATCGCAAAGCCATCATTTCAATTATATCATCAGATACAGTTCATGCGAAAAACTGTACAAGATGATTAAATTCTAACTACATCATCATAAAGTTGACTTTTTTAAAAACTGGTTGCATTTAGTAAGGTCAATGATAAATGGGATTTTCATGAGGTCTAATATAGCCTCTGTAGAGAGATAAGCTCCAGGTGTATGGGTACTGTAACTACAGCAGTACAGCGGCCGTATTAGACCTCCTTTTTTCATTGACCTTAGTTAACTTGGAGTATCTTTTATCATTGACCTCACTAAATTTAATAAAATTTTATAAAATTTGTGTACTTTACGATGGTGTACTTAGAATTTATTTATCTTAAAGAATTTTTGAGCAATTCCTTCTTATTCAATCGTGGCTACGGGCTAAATAACAAGTACCATTGAATAAATAAAAAAACAAACAACGCTCAAATTATCAGTTTAGTTTTAGTTTAATTAATTTGTCACTTTAAAATTAAATAATTTAATATATAAGTTTACATATATTTTAATGATTTTTCCACTTCTGTCATTCTTGGTATTGATATGCAATCAGTAAGAATATTTATTTCATTAAAATTACATCAAATATAATGTCATACATTATAATTGGCATAAATTTTTGAATTTCTGTTTACATTTGAATTTCCAGTGTTATTTTTATCTTAAACTTTGTCAATATTTTAATCTCTTCCAGAAAATTGGACTAAAATTACAATGAAGGTAGTAGCAGATGACAACATCTGTATTAAAAAAAAAAATACATTATCATAATATAGAAGATTTTAATTAAAATATTTCAATTTTTTGTGAAGAAATCTTACAGAAAAGAGTAGAGGATAGTCAAAGTTGAAAAATCCCAAAGTAGAAGAAAAGACATTGCACTTTGCTCTCAAATGGAGAATGATCTTTTTCTGTAAACATATATGATAACAATTTAATTCAACTTTTAAATAATAATAAAATATTTATAATCAAGTTTTGCCTTTTGATTTTAAGTTATGTTTTGATAATTCTGGATTTAAGTCCCACTGTTATGTGATAAGTCGAGTTATTTACTTCATTCTATCCTTAGTTACTCATTCAATCATGAACAATTAGAGTTTTTCTTATTTAGGTAAATTTGAATATGTCTGGTATTTTTATTTATTTATTTTTAAATAAATAACTGCTATACAAAAAGCTTTCAGGCAAAGGAATTATTAAAAGAAAAACAAAAACATGTTAATCAAAATATTGATTTTACAAAGAGGTTTTTTTTATTCTGCTGATAAGTGTAAGCAGTTTGTTAGTCTCATCAAATTAAATCATGCTCTTACATTATTTTATATTTGTGCCTTGTTAATATACTTAATATGTCGTACTGTTAATATTTGTTCCTACCAAAGAATAAAGACAAATTAGAAAAGTTTGTAGATTTTCCACATATACTTACATTTCTTATCAGTTGATTTGTTCTATCATTTAGTATTAATATTTTCAACTTTTTATCAAACTTCTTAGCCTATAAAAATAAAATCATACAATTAATTTCAATCAACTGATATATTTAATATTTTCAAAATGAGAAATTATCAACTATAATGAACTTTGTTGGAAATAGTGCAAAAAATATTTTCTTTACGCCAATGTTTTTATCCAACTGTGCAGGTCATATTTAGGCCTAGAATGAACAAATACTATAGAAAATTGTAGATACAAGATATATTGATAAACAATTAAGAAAATTTATAAACATATTAAATGAAACGTGTACTACAAACAAACCCTGAAGTGTCTTGGATTCAGTACAATGCGAGAAAGTACTGTTACAAGGCCAATGGTTGTGCAGGGAGGTCACGCTCAACCGCCAGGTTTTCCCTCTTATTTTAGGAAGAGTACCCAGTTTATAGAGGCTGGGTTTGCCCTAGGAGGGTCTTTCGGTCCCAGGGTCGGCCCTGGCTGTTGAAAAATTACTAGTCCAGTCATCACCTGGATTCGAACATGGCACCTTGAGCTCTGGAAGTCAGTGCTTACCCACTGAGCTCCCCTGCTCGCTGATTAGATGGAACGTACATACAACTATTAAGAATATTAAATTATTAACAGAGTAAATATTCTTAATACTTTTTATTTAATGTTTTTGCAATTTTCTTAATTTTATACCTATATATATTTATATATATGTCTTGTAACTCCTGCTATTTTCTATTGTCTTTTGTATCTTGCCTTAGAACAGACCCTAGAGGGCTAGAACGCCCTGATGAAGACCTGCATAGTTGGATCGAAACGTTGTTTTAAATAAAATAGTTTTTCACTATTTTAAGTTTTGCTTCGTTACTAACGAAGGTAAGAAAGTTTTGAATTCCTGCGGGAGATTAAAAAAAAAATTTGTTCTCAGACAGAAAATTTCCACTTGAGTTGTACGTTTCAGATATCAAGGATTATTTCAGGACTGGTTGCCCACGTGCAAATATATTTTCTTAGATATACCAATATTTGAGAAACGGCTCGATCGATATAGTTCATATTGAAAAAAAAATATAGAAATTAATAAAATAATGATGTTTCCATTTTATTGAATTCCGTTCAGTACTTCTGATTGCGCAAGCGAAAATGTCTTTTTTTAGGCATACCAATATTTCGGAAACAGCGCGTTTGATATGGCTCAACGTTGAAAGAAAGGTAGGTTTTGGTGAAATAATAAAGCTGTATCGATTTTATTAGATTCTGTACGGTACTTCCGGTTGTGTACGGCCAGGTGTATTTTCTAAGACATGCCGATATTTCAGAAACGGCTCGTTCGATTTGCCTCAAAACTAGAAGAAAGGTGAGAATTAGTAAAGGTAGAATTAGTGGTTGTAAACCTTGAGATATAAGTAAGTGATAAACCAATAGAAATTGTGGGGAAGCTATACTGGCACGTTTTTTTATGGCCGCCATCCCGGACTATCTCTGTTCTTAATATTATACTACAGTCAACCATTAAGTATTCTCTTTAAAAAAATTTGTATTAAAAACTTTACGATTAAAAATTGCTTTAGTTGGTGCAAAAAAGGTAATCTAGCTCGTCTGTTTTTGTTTAGTTCTTTAGTTTTTTTTTTTTTGGCTTTAAGACTTTTCAAAGCAAGTCCTATTTTGCCAAAGAATACTTTAATTGTCATTACAAGATGATATTAAACTGGATATGCTCCGCTAAATGATTTTTTGGTGTAACTCACTACTTATATAGAGTTTGAACGACTTATAATTTAAAAGATAGTTGTTCTATAAAACTGAAAGGAGAATAAAATGTGACTTTTATTATAGAAGTGCTTTTATATAATTTGAAGATTTTTACTAAACTACGGGTGTCATCTTCATTTGTTGATCGAAGGAAGATACACCATCATCCAAAACTTGCGACCATAAACTTATTCTTCTTTGTTTCTCGAACATTTTCTACTTGAAGGAAATTTGTCTTGGGCCCTCTAAGCATTGGCATGTTGTATAATTACCGCTCTTAGCTGAAGCCATTAGATGAAGAAATTTGTTTATTCTACCTTGATTTGTCCTAAGCCTGGTCAGCTTTACTAATCCAGATGAAATTTAAGAATCGCAAACCATGGAACCACCGCTATCTTCTGTTGAACTATTGAACCCTTCGAGGCACATTCCTACTCGTACCAATGCTGGGAATCTTTTATTATTTTCTCCTTAACTACTCTCTGTAAAGGCAACTTGGCATTTATCCCATATAGTTTGTTTTGATTTGCTGTTTTGTCTGCCATTTAATTTCCTGATGTGTTCTGGCATCCACTAGAGAAAAATATTTTTGCTGGCGTTATGTATCAGTGATTTTAAAAGAAATTTGTGTCAGTGCATTATTTTGATAGATTAGCTTTAGATGTTTAGATGCTGTTGCTGAGTCTGTCAGAATAACTATTTTTGTATATTATGGAGTTAAGATTGGCATTTAGTTGGGCGCTGAAGATAATGAATTCAGCTGGTATTGAATGGAAAATTTCTGGTTGTTTTTGATGCATCCGTATAAACTTGTAGATTTTGTTATTACGTTAATATTATGTTCCGTGATTTTATCAAGTACTAGTTTTAAGTAAATCGATAGTTTGATTCTGTGATCCAAATATAAAGTAAATGGGTTTTCACGAGTTTTTATTACCTAATTAAATAGAGTTAAAGTTGGCCGATATTTAGACTGAAAAGTCCCAATTCCAAGAGTTTTCTTAAACAAAATAGTTGTAGATTACGTTGAGATGAAACTATTCACGAAGTTTCAGGTTGATGTTAGTAATTTGATAAAACGGGATCTATACCAGGGACTATGTGGTTAAGTTATATCTTTCGACTGTCCTTGAAGTGAGAAAATCGTTATCACTATTTGAAGTTCTCATAAATTGCATGTTGGGAATCGGCTGTTGTTTTCTTCTTTTTTTTTGGGTGAAGGGGGAGATCAGGGATTAACCTTAAATCGTCGAAAGGATTATGAGTTCACTTCTATTCAAAAGCATGTAATAATGAGATGTGAACCTAAATACTTTTGATACTGCAAAACTTGTATTCCACATTTCCATATTCTAGCTTTGGAAATCTACGATTTTCATTTGCTAATGAAATTTCATTAACTTCTGAGTAAACAATTATTCAACCCTGAAATGCAAAAAACAAAACAAAGATGTTCTAAGGAGATAAAATAAGTAAAAACTGAAAAGATCAGGATTATATTTATACCAGGAATTTGAAAAAACAAAACCATTTTTTTAATTTACTGAAATGACTTATGAACTTTGTAAAATTGAATTTATAACGAAAATAACACTATATTCGATTATTCAAATATTTATGAGTTAAAACATATTTGAATTACTACTAATTCTCTTTCTTACCATATTCTTTGTTGTGGAACAGGAGTGCACTATGAGCCAAATGTAAGAGATATATAAAATCGCCCAAAATAAATAAATGTAATGATACGTATTTAAAATATGGTGGTTAGAATAGGAGTCTATAACCAAATACATGTTACACACAAAGAGAATAAAAATGTAAATTACAAACATAGACATTTGTATTTTATAACATTCCCATAATGTTGTACAACAACAGTTAAGAACTTCATGATAGCTCACTAACTTCTCAATACTCTGAACGTTCAACTTTTCTGAAATCTCTTTAAAATAAAATCTGAGAATATCAAACCAATTTGCTAATTGCCATATGACCAGCCATTTCAGGTAAACAAATATATAAAAAAAATAAACACATGGAGAATAAATCATGTGATGCCATTCAGTTCTTAATTCATATATGATTTCGCAAAGCAAAACAATTGCGAAGAGATAATGCAACCTCTTGCTGTAAAATGAAGTCATACTAATTCCTAATGATTCGCCTATCATATTAATGTCCTTAACCATTTTAGAATGTTTCTTTCTTTTCATTAAAAGGCACAACGCAGAAATCGTTGGAATAAAACAGGTAGGATCGTCAACGTAATGAGCAAAAGAGAATATCCCTGGCAGTTGATGTGCTAAATTCTTATGATGCAACTCGCTTTCGAAAATCAAAAAATTGATTTGTATTATTGCAGTTGAAGTTTTTAGAATAAACATTAATACATCCATCAATGGAAGCTCGTATGATGTAATACACTTTTCACGATATATCTCGAGTATATTTGTGAATCGTTTACGCGCCATGACAATCAGGTGCCCTATTCGATACTAAAAATTATATATGAAAAGTCATCAGAAATAATGGAATCGATAGTACTCTCTCTGTCGCTTTTCAACGGTTTGTTTTTGTTTTCCATCTATCTGACGCAGTTCATATCAAAACATAATCCATGTTGAGTAAGTTCATGGTGTTGTAATTAAATGAATCCATTGATCATGATCGATGCGACTTAATTACAAAGGCTGTGTAGTTATCATTCACATCGATATATTTAACAAGTATAAAATTAAATAGTTGTTTATTTAAGAAGATTTCAGTGAAAAAGAAATATCATTTTAAATAAAAAATCTACTGATCTACTTTTAAATTCTCACGCTACAAAACCTTTGCAGAACCTCAGCCCCCTCTACTGTATTTCTTCAAACCACTAATGGATCCGGAATATAATTTGTTGGGGCTTTAGCCCTTTATAAATATAACTTAAGATATTAATTTTATTCAGATAATAGGTCGTTAAATACACATAAATGAGCTAAAAAAACTTCTGTTTATTCTTTTTATTCAAACGCTTCGATTCCTGTTTTTTTAACAGAAATAATGGGATCCTCTTCAGTTCTGGGAAAACAATATCTGTCATTGGTACAACAATTAAAAGTTTCATACATTTCAACAATAATACTTAAGTTTTCTTACTTCTAATTGAGCATCGATCCAGGATTTAATTTTGGGGGGAGGCTTCAGACCGAAAGCTTTTGTTTTTTTCATAAAAATAACGATAATTAAATAAAAATAAACGATTCCTAAAGTCCTCTTAAATGTAATTACACGAACAATAATACTTTAAGAGGTATTTTTAAAAATTTGTTTTACAATAAAACATGGTTATATTTTACCATTTCGGGAGGGGGGGGAAGTGGACTTCAGCCCGAAGATTGACACCCCAAGGAAATCAAGCTACTGGGACCGCAACGTGCACCCCGATCCTGGAGTCCGAGAATAATACCAATACCAACAATAACAGTGTACACAACAATCTCTCTTTGGTCGTAATCAAAATTACAAAATTAAAGCATCAAAATTACTAAAATTTAACCAGATTACAATAAAATAAAATATAAAGAGGCAGTCATAACTAGTGTTGCCCAAAATAGGTCTTGGTCTTGCACTTTGTAAGACCAAGACCAAATCCGACTAACTATTGCAAGACCAAGAGAAGGACTGGTAAAAAAAATCGATTTTTAAAATAAAAACTAAGGCAAAATAGTTACTATTACTCGACAATCTTAATCATTGGTATAACAAATATGCTTTTGCATTTAACTCTTCTAATTTTTAATTCGGGCTTTGTTAGGTTTCTTCTATCTAAAAAATTACAGTAATATCTCTATAGTAATAAGCTGATAAGTAACTGCAAGACTGTTGCGAGACTCTTGTGCAAGACCAAGACCATGATCAAGACTGAATATACAAGACCAAGACTCGTCTCGTTCTCGCATTTGGGCAACACTAGTCTTAACATACAATAATAAAACAAATTAATATGGTTCCTACTTCTGTCCATTGTCTGTTACCACCATAAACACATACATATATATATATACACACACGCACACACACATATATATGCATAAACACACTGAACGCTCTGGTCAATTTATATTGATTCCAATATATTATTATAGGCGTAATTTAACTCTGATAAATCATTACGCGTGGTTATTGTGTTCTTTGTCATTCCAATGTACATCATTTCTAGAATCAATCTTTTTTGTTGATTTTGTTCGTTATCTAGGACGTTCATCATATCAAAATCAAATATGTGCCTCTTTGATTTATATATATATATAAATATATATATATATAATATATATATATATATATATATATATATATATATATATATATATATATAATATATATATATATATATATATATATATTATATATATATATATATATATATATATATATATATATATATATGATATTGTAAAGTAAAGTATTGTTTGATACTGTACACACTCGTAAAAGTAAATGGAATGGGATGCAAACGTATAAATTTAACAGATTGATGGATAGCAAAGAAATAGCAATTAATTGTTTTAAATGAAGTTATACCGACGTTTGCACTTAGACTTCCTATTAGAAAAATCTGGTACGCGCAACACCCAACTTTCATTTACCGCTCTACTTTGAATAGAAATTATTTTCTGCCATTGTTGGGCATTTTAAGCTTATAGATAACAAATCATTAAGACCATTAAAATTACAAAAAGTCTATTTATTATATTGACGGTTGTAGATTCCTGTCGGTCTTAACCTATAGCCTGCCTGTATCTTCTTGGGCCCATAGATTCTCCTGAAATTCCTTCTCTCTATTTTCAGGAATTTTTCTAGCTAGGGAGACATGTCTCCATCCCGCACAGAAAATTACTGGTTTTATCACCATGTTGTAGTGTCTTATTTTTGCGTTAGAAGATAGGTTCTTCATATTGTAAATATTTCCTGTTGTGAAGCTTACTTTTTTCAGCTTTGTGACCTTATCTTTTATGCTCTATTTTTCCAAATTGTTATTGAATATTGTATCTCCTAGTTGTTTAAATTTCTTTGTTACTTTAATGTGTCCATATTTCGTCTTTATTATTTTATTTCCGTTGTTTTTCTCTGTTGTCATAAATTCGGTCTTTTCGTAGGAAATTTATAGACCTGCTTTTTCTGATATTTCTTTCTGTAGGGTTTGTATTTGACTAATTACTTCTTCCTTCGTTATCGCCAGGAGTACTAAATCGCCCGCAAAGACCAGGCAGCTCTCTCATGATTTTATACAGTACTGTGTTAATAGTATTGATGACAGACCGTCTGTCGCCCTATCTTACTCCCGTTTTTACCTGAAAGGATTTGCTTAATAGTCCTTTAATTTGCTTAATTTTACTTTCGATTTTGTGTTCTTTAGGTTTTATATAAAGTTTTTTATATAAGGTTTATTGTTTTCTGGTCTACTCCGTATTCTTTTAGTATTCCCAGTAAGGTTTCTCTGTCTACTGAGTCATTGGCGCTCTTGAAGTCAACGAAGGAGATATAGAAGTTTTTGGGTCTCACCGTGTAATATCTTATCAGTAGATTGAAGCTTAGGATCTGTTCTTGTCTAGATGTATCGTTTCTGAAGCACCCATGGTATTCTCCAAATTTGCAGGTCTAGTCTGTTTTGCACTGTGAAATTTTGTAAGTGACCGGTAACAGTGAAATTTTTTTGTAGTTGTTTACTTCTGTTTCTGGCTCCTTTTTATGTTATGTAACTTTGTAGTTATATTTGGTCGAAATTATTTATTAACTGATTAAACCTGGACTAGTACAATCCATAAAGGGTCTTGGGATCAATACTAATTCGGGAAAGCATTCTTGGCCAACGGTTGTGAAAGGAGGTGATTTGACCGAGATCGCGCTCTACCGTCAGATTTCCTCCCTCCTCCCCCTCATTATTCATTTCATAGAGGCTGGGTGTATCCCAGAAAGGGGTACTCCCGACCGCCAATGGAACAGAATAAATATTTTTTTCTGCCATTAGCCGAGATTCAAACCTGGGACTTTGATCATCGGTAGCTTAGCATATACCTACCACTGCTACACATATAGCTACACACATTCTTACTAGGTAAAATTTATTAATTTATTTTGAAAATGACCCACTACAATCAACTCAAATATATTCAAATTAGAACATATTTAGATGACTACTGATTCACTTCCTTACCATATTCTTTGTTGCGGCACAGGAGTGCACTATGAGCCAGCAGTAAGACATATACAAAATCGCCCAAAATAAGTAAATGTAATGATATGTATCTAAAACCCCTCGCCTTGAATAGGAGTCTATAACCAAATATATGTTACACACAAAAAGATTGAAAATGTGGACAATAAATAAAGACATTTGTGTCTTATAACATTCCCATAATGTTGTGCAACAGGAGCTAAGCACTTCATGGTACCTTACCAACTTCTCAACTCTCTGGATGTCCAATTGGTCCGAGAGTTGTCCATAATAGAATCTAATAATATCAAATCGGCTTGCGAGCTGCCATATCACCTGCCATTTCAAGTACACAAATAAGTAAAAAGTATAAACACATCCAATATTATGTTAAACCATTCGTTTCTCAACTCATATATGATTTCGCAAAGCAAAGCAATTCCAAAGAGATAATGCAACCTCTTGCTGAAAGATGAAGTCATACTAATTCCTAATGATTCACGTATCGTGTTAATGTCATTAACCATTTTCGAATGCTCCTTATTTTTCATCAAAAGACGTAAAGCGGAAATCGCTGGAATAACACTCATTGGCTGAGAAACGTGATGAGCAAATGAGAAGAACCCTTGCACTTTTTGTTTTAAAATCCTCGTGTGGGGCTCGCCTCCAAAAATTAGTAGCATCCAATGTATAGCCGTAAATAATGTTTTTAGAATGAACATGACTAAATCCATCAATGGAATTTCGAATGAGGCAATATATTTGTCACGTTTCTCGAGCACGTTTGTGAACCATTTCCACGCCATTGCACTCTACACTGATATCAGATGTTCTTAAAAACCACCAGAATTAATGAAATCGATAGTAATTACTTCGTTTCTCCTGATGGGGATATTTTTCATCTTTATGAAAACGTTCTTATCAAAACATAATTTACGTTGAGTAAGGTCATGATGGGAAGTTTTAATTGAATAAGTTCGATTCATCGTTATCGAGCCGTTCTCGTTGGTCAGGTTGATAATAACAAGAATGCTTAGGCGGAATGCCATTAAAGCAACACCGAACATGTCGCTTGATACTTGTTTTCTCGTGTTGCCTTTTGTAGGCAATTTAATTAATTAAAATTAAAATTTAATTAATGTCGCATGCGAAATAAGAGTGTGGCATGCTTCTAAAGCGATTGCA